CCCTGGCGAAGCAGGCAGCAGCCACCAGCACGCGGCTCAGAATCGGTGGCGACTTCGAAATTGGTGCTCCGGGGGGACTGGACCAAAGCAGCTGGGTTCCCTCCGCCTCCCGCCCTTCCACGGTGCGATTGCTGCTCTGAGCAAGGCACCACTGCTTGATCTTGGACAAGGAAATTAGTTTTTTAACTCAGACCTCGCAGGGTACACGTGGATGCTTTTGAATATTGCGCTGAACCAAACCTGGTCTTGGTTTGTTTGTTTTTTTTTTTTAATTTTTTTTTTGTGCCTTAATTTTCCATTCTTTAAATATGATAATAGCATTTTTCCCTGAAATGTTATAGGGATAATTCTGTTAATGTTTACGAGGTGCTGGTACCGCAGCAATGGAGACCTTCGAAGCACCCAGATTAGATGGGGTGAAGAGCATGAAACCTTACCTTTTTCTCCAGTGGAGCTTCCCCCGGGGTGGATCAGCAGTGGGACGCAGCGCATCCCTCCCCGGCCTGCGCTGAGCGCCCAGGAGCACCCTGGCAAACTCAGAGGCTTTTTCAAAACACGTCGCATATGTTGGCAAGATTCATCCCTTGATTTGGGCCATTGGCACCAAGGCAGGACAGCTCCTTAGCGTGTCACCTTCCGTGCAGCGTAAAGCTTTGGGTTTTTTTTTTTCCCAATGTGCTTTTCGTAACGTTAAGGTGGCAAATGGTTTGTTGTTAAAAAAAAAAAAAAAAATCTATTCTTGTAAATATGAGCCTTCCCACCCCAGACTGCTGACAAGTTCATAAAGCAGCCGACCTGAGCAGGAGGGGGTACGGAGCATGGTGTTTGGAGGGAAAATGTTCCAGACGTGTTGCCCATATTAACAGCTTCTCATGAGCAAAAAAAGAAAATAATAGCATGTCTTCTTGATACCAAAGAGTGTGGTTTTAATTAGTATCATAGTTCCAGCTCTTTTTGTGGCAAGAGTTTGAGGGAATGCTTTTTAGCTTGCATGCTCTAAACAGCTAGTAAACCCCAAGGAAAACATTAGATAAAAGTTACACTTGGGCTTATACAAATATTTAAGTTCAGTCTGGGGGTGGAGGGGAATGAAACCCATAAACTGATTGTTTCACGGTCGCCCCGGTATGTTCGTTTGGCAAGAGAGGAGCCATGGGACCAACCCGGGTCTTTTTCTCTGCTCATTTCCTATTGCCTTACACTGCATAATCCCTAACAATACCAGCAGATGCCATCTGGCTTTGTTCTCCTCCTCAGTCAGCACTTTTGGATCCCCCCCAGTTGAAAACCTGCTTTGAATTTAGTCCTTTTTGTTTCCCATAATCACCTACCAAGGGTATTACAGACCCGAGCAGGTTGTTGTTGTTCTCAGCTGGAACTGGTGACGAATGCGAGAGCTCCAGAGCCGGGGCTTGCTCCCCACCTTGGAGCCGGTTGTGTTGCAGGCCAGCAGACTAACCCGCGGGGCTGAGGAGAGCAGCCTTTGCGTCTTGCTATTTATTTATCTGAAATTGCACCTACGCCAGCTTTTCTGAGCGGAGGCCATCTGACGGAGCTTTCTCAGGAGCCCCAAACCTTGCATTTTCCTCCTTGCTTGGTTGTTACCCCTCATGTGTTCACGGCCAACGTTGGCCAAAGGGCTCGGAGGTGTTTTGGGCAGGCTTCTAATTTTATTTATTGTCACAGCGTGCAACTGCTGAGGTCACCAACGCTGTACGTGCTGCTTATGAAAACCGGAGACAGGGCAGGTGTTGTATGGGGAGTGACTTTTCTGTTAAAGGCACCAGCACCGGGGGAAAGCGAATGGGATTGTGTTTCATCCTTGACTCTGGGTGTTACGGTGAAGAAGGCTCAAGAAAGATTTCATTTTATTTTTTTCCTTCTGACCATATTTTTTTTTTGCCTGTGGGTTTTTGGTGCCCCTGTGTATACACATGTAGTAATTGTAGGTCCCGAGTTTTCTGATTTTGCTGCAGTTTTCTATGGACCACTGAACTTTATGATGGAGTTACATTACAAGGAGAGAGATTAAAATATCAAAACTCAGAACAGGAATACTTTTCTTAAAAGCTTTTTTGTCTTTTTTTTTTTTTATTATTATTACTACTGTTTATTTATCTCAGGCTTCTTACAAACATGGAGGAGAAGGGGACTCTGAAAGGTTCAGCTCCCCTTCCAAGGAGAGGCGCAACGAGGCTTCTCCTTGTGTGACAAGGCACAGTGTGACTGGTCACCTCGAGCACAAGAACTCTGAATATTTGCAATAATTCAGTGTCGGGGGGAAGAGAAGCTAATGGTCTCTTTGGAGGAGCTCTGAGTTTGTAACTGTGGCTCTCCTGGGGCGTCCTCCTGTGGTTTTACTCTCTGCCCCAGCTTCTCTTATCTCGTGCATTGAGATAAGGATGTCAATAAAGTGAGGACTTCATGTTTGTAAAAGGCTGTCAAAGATAGGTCTCTTAATAGGGAAGAGCAGCCCGGGGCATGAGCAGGTGGCTGTTAATTAGCTTGGCCACCTCTAACTGTTCTTGCTGCGCCTGTCCTTACGGCAAATGTGTGCTATCCAGAACGGCAGGACGCTGCGGAGATTCCCTTTCCCTGCCCCTTCCCCGGCCCCTCAGGAGAGCGTTTGCAAGAGGCCAGCGATCTCTGCGAAGCTTAAACTGGATCTGTCGGCACCCTTACAGATGGCCAAGGCCCTGCCCCTTCCCATAGGCACTGCTAAGGCTGGCAGCTGATGCTAAGGCTGGTACTGGGGCTGGTCCTAAGGCTGGCGGCTGGTCCTAAGGCTGGCGGCTGGTCCTAAGG